TATAGCACATTTCATACACAATGGTAATTCAAAGTGCTTTACATAAAAGAAAAAAAAAAAAATAATAATAAAATAATAAATAATAAAATAAAAAAAGAAAGAAAGAAAGAAAGAAAAGGTAAAAAACAAACAAACAAACAAAAAAAACAATTCTTTAAAGTTCAGCTATGTAACTAAATGGAACTGGAAACAACTGTATATAATGAAAAGCTAAAAAAAATAAAATAATAAATAAAATAAAATAGTAAAATATTTTAAAAAATAATAATTATTTAAAGTTCAAGTATGTAATTTTGGAATTATGACAGAACACTAATTAAAAACAAAATAGTTAATAAAATGTAAAAAAAAATATTTAAGTGTTTAAAAAAATACTTCAAGTATGTAATTTTGGAATTTGGTGGATGACTAGTTAAAAACATAAATTAGTTAAACTAAAAATGAAATAGTAAAATTGTTAATAAAATAAAAATAAAATAGTAAAAAAAATATTAAAGTATGTAATTTTGGAAGTACAATGGAAAACTCTTACCGATAGGAATATTTTGTTTGCAGACTTTATCCACAAGACTGTCAGACCCGCCGACCTCAGGATGTAGGAAGGTTCCGTGGCCGATTCTATCAGGAGGCAAGTTCAACAGCAGCTCAGACTCATCTCTCCGAGAAGGAACCTGAAATACACATGAACTCTTGCGTAAACCATGTAAAATGATGCTGTCAACTCGATTAATCACGATTAATCACATCCAAAATAAAAGTTTGTGTTTACATAATATATGTGTGTACTGTGTATATTATATGTATATATAACAAATACACATACAGACGTATATATTTTATTTTGGATGTAATTATGTAATTTACCAAAACATCATTCCAATATAAAGAAGTTTCCATGTGCTCCGACCTCTGAGAGGTGTAGCGCCAGCTTCAGACCACAGTTCTTGGATTTTTCAAGTGCAGAGAGCAAATCTTTTCCATGACCCACCTGTAAGATCAAAGATACGGAGAGTGCAGATAGAAGCAACAAGTCGAGTATCAAGTTAATTGCATTTAATCTGAACTCACTGTTGGGTCTCCACTGAGGTCAAGTCCAACTACTACTCCATCACTGGAAAGCAGGAAGTCCTCTGCCAGCTTCACAGTCTCCATGGCAACCACAGGCCCGTGTCTGCGGTCCACGGCTACGAGAAACCTGTTCAAACATTCAAAAATACAGCAGGTGACCATAAAAAAGCAGGTTGTTACCTAAAATAAATACCTTAATATTACCTGACATCAATGTCAACTTCCTCTTGTTTACACTGCCGGATGGCTTCGAGCACAGTTTCAATGTATCTTTGTTTCGTGAGACCTTTTTGTGACAAAAATAAATGTCAACAAAAAGCAGAAATGAGCTGCTAATAAATGTTTGACATATAAAATGCTTCTAGTACCTGTTTCAGTCACTTCCCGTGGCGTGCTACGCAACTCCAAGTATTTTACACCATCTGCCGCAAACTCTTGAATGACTGCTTTGGCAACCTGTTTGATAATCATAATTCTGTTTTTAATTTATTCTTAAAGGTGCAAGAGAATAAAACACGGAGTAAACCATTACCATTAGTATGTCCTCTTCTGAATCAACCAGCTGATGTATCACTTTAAACACTTGAAAACACCTGTTGGAGAAATACACTGACCTAAGAAATAGTTCATTTGTATTGTTATTTCATTGTCCGAAATAACATCAGGACTAGGTGTAGTACACTATTATTAGTATACTTAGTGTGCACTACAAATTTAGTACATTTGTATTTGTATTATTATATTATTTCCAAATATGTGTACTTCTGTAGTATATAGTGGGCAAAAAAAGTATGTGAGATTAGTAGTATGTCCGAATTCATAGTATTCATAAAATAGTACCCGGATGACTTACTACTTCTGGCGAGATTCTGAACAACACAGCACAACAAACTTAGCACAACACAATGGAAACAAGTTGCAACATATCGAAATTAGCACAACTCAACGAAATTAGTCCTATGCGTTGTGTTGTGGCAATTTCGTTGAGTTGTGGAGATTTTGTTGTGTTGTGCACTACTGGGCAACCATACAAACATGAGGCCAAGGGGGAGCATTTGTGAATAGTAGTGAAGTGACGCAACTGACGCTAGAAGTTCACAAATCCCCACTTTTTAGTAAATGGTCTTTTTAGTAAATTTAGTAAATTTTTATAATAATTTTATAAGGAATTCTTTTAATGTTGGATCCAATCCTCCATGTAAATAATAAAAAGGCTTAAACCTCACCATATAGGCTACCATGGCCCATCATCTGGACATTACTTTAAATATGTTATTTCTAAAAACAAAGGAAATAACATACACAATTATTCATGAATATATCCATTTATAATGAATGTACTTTCTGCAACACATTAGTTGAAGATAGTTAACATTTAATCTTTATTGCCCTTTCTTGGATTTTATTTATAATTGGACATGACAGGGAAAAAACTTTACATTTAGATTAGAAACATATTTTACAGAAAAAAAAACTAAATTACATAAATATAATCTGTAATTATTTTAATAAAATTTTGCAGAAAAAAAAAATCAAGAATAACTCCAATCATGTCACTGCCCAAACGTTAACTTTTTACAGACAAATGACAAAATCACGGATGTAGTACGTCTGGATTACATTCATACTTTCATACTAAGTACGTACTTGTTCAAAATAAGTACATACTCGGAGAACAGGCGATTTTGGACGCAGCCAATTTCTAAGATTTTTCTCATACAGTTGAAGATAGTTAACATTTAATCTTTATTGCCCTTTCTCGGATTTCATTTATAATTGGACATGACAGGGAAAAAACTTTACATTTAGATTAGAAACATATTTTACAGAAAAAAAACTAAATTACATAAATATAATCTGTAATTATTTTAATAAAATTTAGCAGGAAAAAAAATCAAGAATAACTCCAATCATGTCACTGCCCAAACGTTAACTTTTTACAGACAAATGACAAAATCACGGATGTAGTACGTCTGGATTACATTCATACTTTCATACTAAGTACGTACTTGTTCAAAATAAGTACATACTCGGAGAACAGGCGATTTTGGACGCAGCCAATTTCTAAGATTTTTCTCATACTTGTTTTAAAGGTTATTATCAGTATATTCGTCCTAACAGTCCATGGACTCGAGTGTGTTTATGGGATGTGTGTACTTCAGTGTTTGACACGCACTCGTCCAGTGATCGGCGCTGTCCGCGGCGGATGGCGGTCATGCTGTGCTCGATGTTCAGATGCGGCTTGCGCTTTATAAGCGTCTCCATCGTTTCAAAACTGACAGAACCATTAAGATGTGCGTGTAACTCCTGAAAGAAAAAAACACACCGAATTTAATTTCATTAAGTGTAATTACTTGAATTAATTTATGTACATATATTGGATTGAGCTCATTAAAAGATAACGTCTGTTTTATTAATGGACCTATAAATGTTTTTCCTACCACTTTTGGCAGCTGACGATAGAAGAGATCCGCTTCGGTATCCATCTCAGTTTTCGTTAACTTTATGAAATGTGTATTTTGAAAAGACTCCTGCGTGTGAAAGAGATTGCGTGA